CCTTCTGGGGTGGAGGAGGATGAGATGGTGCCGATGACACTCCTAGCGTCTGCTCATACTCAGCCTTCTCGATGAGGGCCGCGTTCAAATCCAACGCATTCTTGTACAACGCATTGATGTCACTCCGGGGAGCAATGATCAGATGGGTCGAAAGGTCGGGACGTAAACCCTCCACGAAGCGTTTGCATCGCTTTTCCACGGTCGGTACGAGGTCTAGCCCAAACCCCTCGAGCTCGTCAAACTTCTGACGGTACTCAGGCAGTGTGAGTTCACCCTGGGTGAACTTCAAAAACTCCTCCCGCTTCGCCTCAACGAAGTGCTCAGGGATGTACTCTTCGTGGAAGAGTCGGTCAAATGTGGCCCACTGCACGGGCTCCGGGACGCCTGCTCCCACACGTGTCCACCAGTCGTAGGCGGAATCCTGAAGTAATGCGACTGCGAGGTCGCCACGCTGCTCCTGTGGAACCCTCAGGTTCCCCAACACTCGGATGGTTCGCTCAAACCACCGTTTGGCAATCATGGGGTCGGCGATCTGATCGCCCAAGAATTCCTCAGCTCCATTCTTTTCCCCGAACGGGTCCGAATTGAGTTCCGTTTGTGTTTCTGGAATCAGACAGTCAAGATGAATTCAATGATATGATCAAATAATTTTTCTAAGAACTTTTGAATTTCCCAACTCTGATCCGGAACAGTAAGTAATTAATTAAATTAACCAATTCTATTAGACCGGATTGCAGGGCATTACAGTTCCCCCCTTAATAAATGCATATTTCTTTTCAACAAAGTTTATGTGTTGAATAAGAGTTAGTTTTAGAAAAAAGTTCCCCCTCAATCTATGCATAACCTTTATATCTTCCCCCTTTTGACATTAACAAAAAGAATTGAAAGTAAACTTTTATTCATTAAAAGGGAAATGCGGAATATAACAAATAAAACTACAATCATATTTAATAAGGAGAGAATAGAGAAGAGGTCGTGGCGTCGGTGTTGGCCTTCTTCTTTGAAGCCTCAGTTTTGGTCCTCGACTTTCCTCTAGCCATTGTTGAAGCGTTTAGAAAGTGAGTAGAGGCTTAAAGTATACAAAAGGAATGTAAATTGTGTGTTAAAAATGACCAAGGATGGTTAATATTTATAGGAAAAGAGAATTTGGGCCCTTGGTGTTCGAAAATATGGCCATTGGGCATTGAATGAGGTGCCCAACGGCTATGATTTTTGTACTACAACAGGCTTCCTAGCAATGGTAAGGTTCTACAATCGATGGGAAGACAGGTACAGGAAAGGGAGGAAAAAAGTGAAAGCAGCCTTCCCAACGATGGTAAAGTTCTCCCATCCATGGGAAGACAGCTACTGGAAATCCGTTAAATTTTTTTTTTTAAAAAAAGTGTCAAACACCCAGCGATGGGAAGAAGTTCCCATCGATGGGAAGAGGGCTGCGGGTTAGAAAATACTTCCTTCCCAGCAATGGGATAAACCACCCATCGCTGGTTCCCCCTGAGTTCCTCACTTTGATACGTACCTGCAAAAAAAACAACACTTTGGTACCCAAAGTATGTCTATGGGTCCTTGGGGGTTAGTTTACCTTTATTGCCCACACACACACCCAAAATATGTTTCCATATGCACGCACACACACACACAATTAAATGATTGTTTAGGAGTTACCTTAGCCAACCCATCATCTCGTGGTTGGCAGGTTCCAGTCTACCTGAACGGAGTGCCGATATCTCGGTGTGATTTATGTTGATTCCGGTAACGGAATGTGGACTTTCTTCTTTTCGTCAAAGTAGAAGAAATAGTATGGTTTCTTTTGTGCATTATCCTATGGAGATTGTTTATGATTCGAATATCCTTTTCCAAAGGATTTCTTTTCGTTAGCACTGAACATGTTGTGTGTTTCATTAAAGGTCAAGTGCTTATGTTTGGTGAAACACACGGGTGCTATGTGTCCTACCCTATCGCAATAATGGCATACTACGTTTGGGTTGAACATATGCCTAGGTTGGTAATAGCTAGGAGGTCTCACCATATTCATCCTATTTTGAGAAAATATTGGTTTTTGGGTATTTTGAAAATTCTCTCTTCTAGGTGTTCTAAAATTATTTCTGTGCATAAAATTATTTTGATGATTCCTCCTAGGTTGCCTAGAGTGCTCGTGTTCACGACTAACCTTTTGTCTAGGTTGTCTATTATTTTTATTTTTATCTTTCTTAGGTTGAGCTCTAGGTGGTTTACGGTTGTGCTCAACTTTTTCTTTATTTCTAGGTTCATCAATCTTCTCAAAACCTATTCCTTGTTTAGTGTATTGCATAGAATCAAAAATGAGATTAAGATCCTTATGTGGTTTATTAAATTTCTTCACCGTGTTTTCTAATTCAGCAACTTGTTCTTTCAAAGCTATGCAAGAGTCACAAGGTTTTGTAGAGCTCTCGGGTTTGTCGGCGCTTCTTTTACCATAAAATTTATTTTCCTCTTTTAGTTTTTCGTTTTCCTTTTGAAGTTTTTCAAACTCAGTTTCAAGATTAAAAAAATGTTTCTTTAAAGCTTTGTTGGTTTTAGAAACGCTAACAAACTCGTCATAAAGCTCTTGGAGAGCTTCTTGCATTTCTTCAATAGAATAAGAACCGGTAGAAGAAATACGTACCTCTTGGTTTTCGTTGTTGGAGGACTCCTCTTCTTCTTGAGCTATGAGACAAAGATTTGCTTCCTCTTCTTCCTCTTGTTCGCTTGATTCATCGCCGGAGTCTCCACCCCACGAGATGTATGCTCTTTGCTTTTTGAAGTGACGAGCATTCCTTCCCCTTCTTGGGCATTTGTTCTTGATGTGCCCAGCTTTACCACATCCATAGCACACATGGTCATCCTCAACTTTCTCTTTCTTCCGTAGAAGTTTACAAAACTTCTTCATGACAAGCTTGACTTCATCTTCGTCGCTTGATTCATTCATTGCCGGTTCTTTGGAGGCTTTTAATGCTATGCCTTTTCCCTGATCATTCAAAGACGGGTTAAGTATAGTAGATTCATACGTTTTTAAGTTACCTCTTAAACCGTCGATGGTGACATTTGACGTGCCGATTGACTCATAGATGACATCGGCCTTGGATCGCCATTCGGATGTCAAGCTCCGTAGGATCTTTCGTACAAGATCCCTATCGGTGTAAGTCTTCTTCAATGCATGAAGATCGTTGACTATCTTGGAAAATCGGTCGAACATGTTGTCGATCTTCTCGTGCTCCTTCATCCTGAACATCTCATATTCTTGGGTGAGGAAGTCCATCTTGGCTTCACGTACTTGGTCCGTTCCTTCATATGTCACCTCAAGTTTATCCCACATCTCCTTGGCGGTTGAGCATCAGGATTTCTGGCACAATAAAGCATGTTTATTGCCTTTGCATAGTTCTCGACCTTTTTTATGTCCTCGGCATCAAACTCGTCTTCGGTCTTGGAGATCAACTTGTCGCCAACTTTCTTCATCGGCACCTCTTTCCCGTTTTTGATAACCAACCATAATTGGAAGTGTGTGGAACGAATATAGATTCTCATTCGTTCTTTCCAATATGTATAATTGGTTCCATCAAAAAGAGGTGGCCGTGTAGTTGATTGCCCTTCACCTATTCCTGCGTACAAATTTCTAGAAGAAGAACCCATGATCGCTTTACTCTCAAACGGTTAAGTTTGGACACGAGTTAGGCTCTGATACCAATCGTTAGAATAAGTGACCAACACTAGAGGGGGGGTGAATAGCGTTTGATCGTAGAAATCGCAGGAATAAAAATTAAGAACATGAAAAGTAAAGTGCGTAGAAAGCGTAAAGGGAGCACACCAAGATTTATACTGGTTCAACACAACGTGTGGCTAATCTAGTCTCTCGATAGACTCTCTCGAGCTACACTTCTTCCGTTAAGCTTACGGGTTCTTAACAAACCGTTACAACCTGAGAACTCGAGTCCCACGAGCCTCAACAACACTTGCTCAGAGATACCGCACTCCAAGACTTCAACCTGAAGGAAAATGCCTTTCCTTCGTATAACCAAAGGGAAACAGGCTTCCCTTAACGTGTATACAACACTAAGACACTCAAGAACAAATACTCTTTTTTAGAGTGGATATTAAGTAAAATATATACGCTCAAGAACAACTCAAACTTCACACAATTTGGCTCTAGAAAGCTATGAAAGTATGAATATTGTGAAGTGAATTGATGTGTAAAGCAGACCCAAACACCCCTTTTTATAGTGCCAAAATAGGCTCCAACGGACCAATGCATTAAAGGGGTGATTGGCTTGATTTTTGGGATTGAATAAATTTGGGATCTGCAGGATATTGGCTTCCCATTGATGTTTAGACTCAACCATCGCTGGTAAGCCAATTTTCCTTCAGTTTTGAAGCCAACGGTCACATACCCATCGATGGGTACAAGCTTCCCATCGCTGGGTGGGAGGTTGACTTCCAAACAAGGAAAGAATCAACCTTAAATGACTTCCAACGGTCATGCCTTCCCATGGCTGGGTAATATCCTCCCATCGCTGGGAAGTCACTTACCCATGGATGGGTAATATCTCCCATCGCTGGGTAAGGGCATTCTGCCTTGTGATAATGTTGGACCAAGGCTTGAACAGCGATGTGTAGAGCTTCCCATCGCCGTTTGGCATGGTTCTGGAATTCAATTAGGCTGAAGGATGCTTACCCATCGCTGGGTAATATCTCCCATCGCTGGGTGGCATGATTCTGGAATCCCGGAATCACTAACCCATGGCTGGGTGATATCTACCATCGCTGGGTAGATGGCTAGCCCAGAACCATGGCCTAGCCGACCGGGGCTAAAACCCGACCGAAAAATGCAAAGTTCTCCAAAGTAAAACCTAGTATTTAAAACACTTATTTAATGTATTTTTATGTAAAAAAAAGATTTGTAAGTTGAAAACCACGTCGTTAAGGTAAAAACCACGGTTGACCAAGTCAACGCCGTACACGGGTGGTTTTTACCAAAAGATAAAACCGAAAGGTGGTTTTCATGATGTTTTGATTGGAGAACCGTTTAAACGCATTAAAAAACAGTTCCAACACAAAAAGACTCGAAAACCACTTCATTTAAGTAAAAACTGCGGCTAGCCAAGTTTGTACCGTTCAGCGTGGTTTTTGCCAAACGACCAAAAGCGAAAGGTGGTTTTCAAAGTGTTTTTGTTGGAGAACTGTTTAAACATGCCAAAGAGTGAAAAACAATCATAAAATGTTGAAAACCATTTGGTTGGTTTGGATGCCAAAAACCAATGCCGATAACTGAAAGCCGAACGCTGGTTTCTGAAAGCCGAACGCTGAATGGCTTGGTTTTTGTTTTGAGCGAACACCAAGTGTTTTTAATGACTTAAACAAGTTTGAAAAACATTTTTATGATGTAAGAAATGCAATGAAAGATTTTAGCCTAAAGAGCCAATGCGTGAGGGTTGGGTCGGTCTTGATCACAATTATGACCGACTCAACAATACTAAAGACTGCGGTCTTCGTTCTTGGTCTCTTTTGGCTCTTGTTCTTTATCTTCGTTCTTCGCCTTGTATATTCAATGTTTGTCTTGATCACGGCGGTTTGGCATTATCAAAACCTGTTACAGAAACGAACATGGCTTTAATACGAAAACGTGACAAGCCCGTGTTTCAACATCTTTCATTGCATAAGCATTCCTATCTTTTTTCTTAGCTATTTGAGAGCCAATTCTTGAATAAATTGTCGTGTTCTTGAGTGTTTACTAGTTCACTCATATCTACTCTTTTTGAGAGTTTTTATTCCTGAGTGTTTAAGTGTTTTCATACACTTTAAGGGAGGTTGTTCCCTTGTTGTAAACTCGAAGGAAGTTCTTTGTTCCTTCGTGAGAAGTCTTGGAGTGCAGTATCTCCGAGCAAAGGCGTTGATGCTCGTGTGACTCGAGTTCTCAAGTTGTATCGGTTTGTTGAGCACCTTTAAGCTTAACGGAGTTAGTGTAACTCGAGAGAGTCTCTCGAAAGGCTGGATTAGCCACACGTTGTGGTGAACCCGGATAAAATTCGGTGTAGTCCTTCCTTATGCTCTTTACTTTTTCGCTCTCGTTTTTAATTTCCTGTGATCTTGCTTTAAACGCTATTCACCCCCCCTCTAGCGTTGGGCCTTTATTCTAACAAATCGAAGGCTAGAAGACAGTACACTGATTGGCTCTCATCTATTAGGAATGAGAAGAAAGGAACAGAAAAGGTGCATCCACTTGTACCGCAAATGTGGAAGGAGGTATTTCTAAATTTCTTCTGAATTGAGGAGTTACGTTATACGCTTCATGTCTGAAATTTGAAAACATCACACACACACATATATGTGTGTATATATTTATATATATATATATATTCATATATTTGTAAATTTGTATTTATATGTGTTGGAATGCATGAGTTCAACCCTTTCTGTGTTGTTTAGTTTTGACTCACAGGTTTTGATAATTGACAAACACAATTTATTCAAATCAAGATTAAAGTACTACAACGACAATCACGAAGACTTGAAGTGCCATTCCTTGAAGCATGCAAGAAGGTGCACAGGATTTTATTGAAGTCCAAGACGCATTCGGAGCGCCTAACGGAGGACTCGGAAAAGTAGAAGATTTCCGAAGACTTTTTATTTATTTGAGTCGTAGGAATAATTGTAAGGATGACAAAAATATCTTCTCTCCAAAATTATTTTTATGAGAGTTAAAACAAAAATTATATTTATTTTTGGAGCCAGTTGAAAAATCTTTTTAACTGTTCAAAATAGTTTTATTGAGTCTGTCACAAAAGGTGTGCCAAACATTTATCAAATATTTATTTTGATATTGTAAAATATTTTTGGTAAGAAAAAATATTTTATTCAAATATTTTTCGTGTACATCGTTTGACACAAAATAATTTTTGGACTCACTTTTACTCCCTTATTCAAATTCATTGAATAGGAGATTTTTTTGAGGAGCGTTGCTGCCTGATTCCTGTTGTCTCAAACAACGAGTATTCATCCAATTTGCTTTCAATCGCAACTGGCTTGGGCCCTTTGTGTTTATGAATCATTTCGCATCTAATCGATTAAGTTTCTCACCTTAATCAATTTTACCCAGTTAATCGATTAATTTCTCTTGATTAATCGATTAATCTAGTTTTGCCTTGCGAAGGATTGTTCTGGTCCTTGGTCTAATCGATTTTCCTCCTGCCTTTAATCGATTAGTTCACACTGATACCCTGGTTGAGGATGATGCATTAATCGAGTATTAGCACTGCATTAATTGATTATTATGCTGCATCTTTTCTGCACAGCTTCTTTTCTTGGACCAACGGATATATTTCTTCACCTCCTATTTAAACACACTTCCTTGGTCATTTTTCATAACAAGAAACACTCCAATAATCCCCATTCTTGAGGTGTTAATCCTCCATCAATCTTTCCTCAAATTTATATTATTTTGAGAGAAAATTATATTTTAAAGAGAGTGTTCTTGTCATCCATAGAGCTTAATCTTTTCTCATTTCTACTCTTGTGAGAGTCATTGTTGTGAGGTTGAAGAAAATTGTTCTTCTTGTTGTTCAAGACTTATGTGACTTAAGTCTTGGTTGTGAAGTCTTGTAGAGGGCATATCTACGAGCGGTTGTGTCGAGGCTTGTGGGATTCAAGTTCTCGAGTTGTAAACGGTTTGTTAAGCACCCGTAAGCTTAACGGAAGTAGTGGTAGCTTCGAGAGAGTCTCTCGGGGAACTGGACTAGCCACGAGGTGGTGAACCAGTATACATCGGTGTGTTCTTT